CCCTGTAGTCTCCAGCTCCTCTAGAATAGGAGTGTATGTGGATCACAGTGCAGGAACTCTGTCCTTCTACAGTGTCTCTGACACAATGACCCTCATTCGCAGAGTCCACACCACATTCACTCAGCCTCTCTATGCTGGGTTTGCGATTTATGGTGACTCAGTTGTGAAACTGTGTGAGATATAAAAATAGAGGATGCATACAGTAGACTGTGCAAACAATATTGCCAAACAGCTTTAATCAATAAATCAATATACTACAGCTGAACTTGTTATCAAAAACAATTTCATTAAATATTATTAGAGCTGAAATATTTAATCAGATTGATTTATTAATGGTTATAATAACCAATATGGCCTATTATCATTTGTGTAACAGACACTGTAAAATAAAATGTTTTCAGACAAGTTTGTTGCATTGTATTTCTTTCATCAAACATAGGGAATGAGGTACCAATATTATTAGAGAGAAAAACAATCTGTTTTGATGAGAAGGAACTGAATATCTTGCTAGCATTGTTTATCATGTAGCTGCACTGCACATTTTTACAAGATTTCACATTTTACTGGCATGATTCTAACATGTTTTAACACAATGCTAGCATGATTTATCATGTTGCAAACATGTTTCTAGTGAGTGTCAGCATAATACTAGTGCTTTAAAAGTGTTAACACATTAGTATAATTTTTCTAGCATGTTTTAGTAAGTGAACTTGCTAGCATGTTTTAACACACTCCTAGCATGATCCTAGCAAGTTTTAGCACTTTGGGTCTCACACTTATAAAGTTAATATGATATAATGCATACCTTTAGTTACTGCAATCTTACTACAAATACCACAGTTAAATTATGGTTACTCTGTAAGAATATATGAGACAAAGCAGTACAGAGGCAAAATTTCCTTGACAAAGTAATCATATTACATGTTAGCAACATGCTAAAACATATTAGAACATGCTAAAATGTGCTAGTAACATGCTAGAAACAATAAACATCAAACGTTAAACCTGGTGTTCTCAACTCTGGCTCTCGAGGTCCACTTTCCTGCAGAGTTTAGCTCCAACCCTAATCAAACACACCTGAACAAGCTATTCAACGTCTTCAGGATCACTGGAAAGTTACAGGCAAGTGAGTATGATCAAGGCTGAAGCTAAACTCTGCAGGAAAGTGGACCTCGAGGGCCAGTTGAGCTGCTTTAAACTGTATTTTAAAATGTCAGATTAAACAACATCAAAGTTTGTCCTGACAAACTTTACTTCTGTAGTTTCAATAAAGCTTAAATAGTTTTTATGGATGGATTAAAAGGATGGTTGATTGTTTTCCATGCATTTACAATTTTAATAATTAGGTTTTAAAACTCAGCTATTTGATGACTCTGTTTAACCTTTTAATGATGTTTCATAATAATAAAAGAAGTCCATTATGTGTATATTCTCTTTAAGTGTATTCCATTCAATTGTAAGTGCCAAGAATAGTGAACTTCACAGAGTATTTCACCATCCAAGAGAGATTCCAATCCTAAGGAAGAGTATTTGTTAAGTTTAAGGGGCACTGCAAATTTCACCAGGAACGAGAAACTACCATTAATTATATAAATGAACTTTGAACGGTGTTTATGATAATGTGAGGGAGCAAAGGTCGCTCATAAATTTCTTCATGTGTGTGGACTTTAGTCTAACCATTCCTACCTTTAGTGTGGTTTATTACCATCTTCTTGCTCAGTCTTGAAGTAAAATTCAGCAGGCTTATGTTATGCTTTTCTTTGTTTTTTAAAACTTCTATTCCTATGTTCTAGGCTGTTGAGTTGCTGTATGTATCTGTGTTTAGTAAAATGGCAGAATCCAGTATTTCAGTGGCTCAGGATTAGTTAAGCTGTTCAATCTGTCTGGATCTACTGAAAGATGCAGTGGCCCTTACCTGTGGACACAGTTACTGTATGAGCTGTATTACAGGCTGCTGGGATCAAAAGGGAGTCTACAGCTGCCCTCAGTGCAGACAGCCCTTCACTCCAAGACCTGTTTTAGGTAAAAACACCATGCTGGCTGAAGTGGTGGAGAAAATCAAGAAGACAAAACTCCAAGCTGCTCGTCTTTCTCAATGTTTCGCTGGATCTGGAAATGTGGAGTGTGACATGTGTACTGGGGACAAAAACAAAGCCGTCAAGTCCTGTCTGGTGTGTCTGGAATCTTACTGCCAAACCCATTTTGAACGTCATGAAGAATTTCACTCTGGAAAGCAACACAAAATGATTGATGCCAATGGACAACTGCAGGAGATGATCTGCCCTCAACATGATAAACTGCTGGAGATTTTCTGTCGTACTGATCAGCAGTGTATTTGTTATATGTGTATGGTAGATGAACACAAAGACCACAACACTGTATCAGCTGCAGCAGAGAGGACTGAGAAACAGGTATGAACTCAGTTATGCTGAATAATAAATGTCTCTTGATAATCACATAATGGGCACAAAATTGAAGATAATTTAAAAACAGTTCTTACTAGGGAAAGATAATGCAGTTTCTCTGCTTATTTTCTCTTTTTTTGAAACGGTTCTTTGTGACATTCTCTTCAAGGACACTAATGAATTGTATGTTGACTATATATTCTACAGAGACAACTGGAGGAGACACAGAACAAACCAGCTGAGAATCCAGGAGAGACAGAAGGAACTTGAGGAGCTGAGAGAGGCTGTAGAGTCTCACAAGGTGAGTTTTGAGCAGAAGAGCAGAGATCAGGAAAATGCTGCAGTGAGTCGAGCTGAAGGAAAACTGGAGCAACTGGAGCAGGAGATTGAAGATCTGTGGAGAGACGCTGAGCTAGAGCAACTTTCACACAGACAATCACATCCATTTCCTCCAGGTAACAGAGATCTGACAAACAGGACACTGGTCTTCAGGAAGGGAAGAGCATGTTGTACAGAGATTGTGTTTCTATCAAATGTTTCTGTGTCTTTAGCTGGTGTTTCTCTTGTGTCTTTGTGTCTGTGTAGAGTTTCCAGTCTCTCTCTGTTCCTCCTGGATCTACAAACTCACCCAGCATCACTGTTAGTTCTATTCCATCTTTTGATGATGTTGAAAAATCTGTGTCTCATCTGAGAGAGAAACAAGCATTTCTGCAGAGGAGATAGAAATGTTATCTGGTAGAGGTAAGCTTTACTTTTCCTGACATATATGATATCAAGTAGAAAGAATGTATACGTAAATAAAAAATGTTTTATAATTACAATTAATTTATATTATTTGACAATATTTACTATAACGTGTCTGTTGGTTTCCATAGTGAGAAACATCAACATCATTCCCATCTCTGAACCTGAGACCCGCGAGGAATTCCTCAAATGTAAGTCTCTATTAGAGTACATGTACATAAAGAGACAGACTTTAATTCTTATTACATTTCGTCAATCAGACTGAACTGTGCTGAACTCCACACAACACTCTTGATTTACACGAGATACATTTATACTGTTAATTTAGTCAAATTTTTTAACCCAAAGCAGGAATAATCACGATAACCAGTTTAATTACTGGGTTAGTTGAATGTCTGGTCACTTCTGTTAATCACTCACTGCTAGGTTCTGTTTTGGCAGAGACATGTTAATTAAAACTAACCTTTGGCAGCTTGTGATAGAGCTGCTAAAAAGAAAGGAAAATAAATAGAAATGTGAATTTACTTTTCAATTAAAAAATATTTGACTAACTATAATTTCTGCTGGTCAACTCCAAACACTCACAGACACACCAACATGTTATAATGTTGATAACAGTGAGGCAGATTTTGTGAACCTAAATGTAATAAACCTCTGGTGTTTTATTTTTTTTATGTTTGAAAGCCATGTACTACTTGATATATGCAGATAATGTGTTTTATCTTCATCAGATTCCTCTAGAATAGGAGTGTATGTGGATCACAGTGCAGGAACTCTGTCCTTCTACAGTGTCTCTGACACAATCACCCTCATTCACAGAGTCCACACCACATTCACTCAGCCTCTCTATGCTGGGTTTTGGGCTAACAAATATTTAAAAAGACTAATGTTTTTCTTTTCAAAAGTGACACTCTGTTGTCTCACAATATAGATGGTATAAACTTTCTACAAATAATATAGTGAGATGTAACCGGTGTAGTCTGCGTTGTGGCCCTTTTTAATTTGAGTTGAATTACTGAAATAAATGAACTTTTCCACGACATTCTAATTTATTGAGATGCACCTGTATATATGGTGAATTCGCATTTTCGTTTCTGTAAGACGAATGTAAAGTGCGATGTAATTAGCATGTGCTTCCAGTTCACATCGGACAGAAAAGTGACCAAACGTGATAAAAATACAAAAATCATAAAATATACATGAAAAACAATGTCTTGTATATGATACACACACACACACACACACAGGCATATCAGGTACACATTTTAACATTTTTGTGTAATTCTACATATATTAACATAATACTTTCTATACCTGTTACAGAGAGATATTTGCAAGATATCATAGCCATGTTTAGAATTTTGACATTTATTCTTATGTTTACTCCAAATATTATCAATACAATATTAATTGATTTATTCACTGATTTTATTGATCACTTGCAATGATGCTTGTTATGTATGAAATTGTCTTATAAATGGAAATAACTGCATTTAAATTAACTGTGTTAAATAACATCACATCACTTCCATTTGTGGCTGTCTACCAAATGCATAAATGTAACTCACATTTAAAGGGTCTGTCATTCACAAAGAAGAACATAAAAGGCTTAAAATACTTGATAATCCGGTGGGAAAAGAAGAGGATGAGCGTTACAATCGGTATAAACAACTGATTTTTATTTTAATATATATTATAGAATTATATCAATATCATTACCTATTGTAGTGAGTTTCTGAATAAGACTGCCATCCAGTGGTCGTGTTTATTTTATGACGCATTTTTTGCACACGTTTCAGAACCAGGAAATGTTTCAGTTCAGCGAAATCGAAACAAGACTGCTGCCGAACTGTTGTGAATGTCTCTCCACCTGTGAGTGCGTTCAGTAAAATGGCTGAATCCAGTGTTTCTTTGGCTCAGAATGAGTTCAGCTGTTCAGTTTGTCTGGATCTACTAAAGGATCCAGTGACCATTCCCTGTGGACACAGTTACTGTATGAGCTGTATTACAGGCTACTGGGATCAAAACAGTGTCTACAGCTGCCCTCAGTGCAGACAGACCTTCACTCAAAGACCTGTTTTAGGTAAAAACACCATACTGGCTGAAGTGCTGGAGAAACTCAAGAAGGCAAAACGCCAAGCTGCTCGTCCTGCTCAATGTTTCGCTGGATCTGGAGATGTGGAGTGTGACCTCTGTACTGGGAGAAAATATAAAGCCATCAAATCCTGTCTGGTGTGTCTGGAATCTTACTGTAAAAATCATTTTAAACGTCATGAAGAATTTCACTCTGGAAAGCGACACAAGGTGACTGATGCCAATGGACAACTGCAGGAGATGATCTGCCCTCTACATGATAAACTGCTGGAGATTTTCTGTCGTACTGATCAGCAGTGTATTTGTTATATGTGTATGGTAGATGAACACAAAGACCACAACACTGTATCAGCTGCAGCAGAGAGGACTGAGAAACAGGTATGAACTCAGTTATGCTGAATAATAAATGTCTCTTGATAATCACATAATAGGCACAAAATTGAAGATAATTTTTAAAACAGTTCTTACTAGAGACACAATTTATTTTCTCCACTTATTTTCTCTTTTTTTGAAACTGTTCTTTGCGACATTATCTACAAGGACTAATGCGATGTATGTTGACTATATACTCTACAGAGACAACTGGAGGAGACACAGAGAACAAACCAGCTAAGAATCCAGGAAAGACAGAAGGAGCTTGAGGAGCTGAGAGAGGCTGTAGAGTCTCACAAGGTGAGTTCTGAGCAGAAGAACAGGTGCTGGCTGCTGAAGAGCTGTTTCAGACTCAGTGTGGACACTCCTCCAGCCAGTCAGTGAGGAGCCAGTGCTGGAGCTCTTTCAGTCCACTGAAGCCCGCTGTGGGGAACAGGCTGTGTGAGGTAGCAGTAAGAGCTGAGTGAATGGACTGATTCTAATGCTTCTCTCTCTGTGTGTCCTAACAGCGCTCTGCACAGGCAGCAGTGGAGGACAGTGAGAGGATCTTTACTGAGCTGATCCGCTCCATTGAGAGAAGCTGCTCTGAGGTGACACAGCTGATCAGAGATCAGGAAAATGCTGCAGTGAGTCGAGCTGAAGGACAACTGGAGCAACTGGAGCAGGAGATTGAAGATCTGAGGAGGAGAGACGCTGAGCTGGAGCAACTTTCACACACAGACAATCATATCCATTTCCTCCAGGTAACAGAGATCTGACAAACAGGACAGTGGTCTTCAGGAAGGGAAGAGCATGTTGTACAGAGATTGTGTTTCTATCAAATGTTTCTGTGTCTTTAGCTGGTGTTTCTCTTGTGTCTATATAGAGTTTCCAGTCTCTCTCTGTTCCTCCTGGATCTACAAACTCACCCAGCATCACTGTTAGTTCTATTCCATCTTTTGATGATGTTGAAAAATCTGTGTCTCATCTGAGAGAGAAACTGAAGCATTTCTGCAGAGAGGAGATAGAAATGTTATCTGGTAGAGGTAAGCTTTACATTTCCTGACATAATATGATATCATGTAGAAAGAATGCATACGCAAATAAATTTTTTTTTATAATTGCAATACATTTTTATTTGACTATATTTACTATAAAGTGTATGTTGGTTTCCATAGTGAGAAACATCAACATCATTCCCATCTCTGAACCCGAGACCCGTGAGGAATTCCTAAAATGTAAGTCTCTATTAGAGTACATGTACATAAAGAGACAGACTTTAATTCTTATTACATTTTGTCAATCAGACTGAACTGTGTTGAACTCCACACAACACTCTTGATTTACACGAGATACATTTATACTGTTAATTTAGTCAAATTTTTTAACCCAAAGCAGGAATAATCACGATAACCAGTTTAATTACTGGGTTAGTTGAATGTCTGGTCACTTCTGTTAATCACTCACTGCTAGGTTCTGTTTTGGCAGAGACATGTTAATTAAAACTAACCTTTGGCAGCTTGTGATAGAGCTGCTAAAAAGAAAAGGAAAATAAATAGAAATGTGAATTGCCTTTTCAATCCAAAAATATTTGACTAACTATAATTTCTGCTGGTCAGCTCCAAACACTCACAGACACACCAACATGTTATAATGTTGATAACAGTGAGGCAGATTTTGTGACCCTAAATGTAATAAACCTCTGGTGTTTTATTTTTTATGTTTGAAAGCCATGTATTACTTGATATGCAGATAATGTGTTTTATCTTCATCAGATTGCCGTCAGCCACGAGATACATTTATACTGTTAATTTAGTCAAATTTTTTAACCCAAAGCAGGAATAATCACGATAACCAGTTTAATTACTGGGTTAGTTGAATGTCTGGTCACTTCTGTTAATCACTCACTGCTAGGTTCTGTTTTGGCAGAGACATGTTAATTAAAACTAACCTTTGGCAGCTTGTGATAGAGCTGCTAAAAAGAAAAGGAAAATAAATAGAAATGTGAATTGCCTTTTCAATCCAAAAATATTTGACTAACTATAATTTCTGCTGGTCAGCTCCAAACACTCACAGACACACCAACATGTTATAATGTTGATAACAGTGAGGCAGATTTTGTGACCCTAAATGTAATAAACCTCTGGTGTTTTATTTTTTATGTTTGAAAGCCATGTATTACTTGATATGCAGATAATGTGTTTTATCTTCATCAGATTGCCGTCAGCTCACTTTGGATCCAAATACAGTGAATAAAAACCTGGTACTGTCTGAAGAGAACAGAGTGATTGAATACACTCGTGAAGAACAGCTGTATCCAGATCATCCAGACAGATTTGATGGTTTTCCTCAGGTGTTGTGTAGAGAGAGTGTGTGTGGACGCTGTTACTGGGAGGTCGAGTGGAGTGGTTGGGTGGGTATATCAGTGTCATATAAGAGAATCAGCAGGAAGGGATGGGGAAAGGAGTGTGAGTTTGGTTGTAATGATCAGTCCTGGTGTTTGTACTGCTCTGACTCCAGCTGCTCATTCTGGCACAATAACAGAAGAACTGAACTCCCTGTAGTCTCCAGCTCCTCTAGAATAGGAGTGTATGTGGATCACAGTGCAGGAACTCTGTCCTTCTACAGCGTCTCTGACACAATGACCCTCATTCACAGAGTCCACACCACATTCACTCAGCCTCTCTATGCTGGGTTTTGGGCTAACAAATATTTGAAAGGACTAATGTTTTTCTTTTCAAAAGCGACACTCTGTGATCTCACAATATAGATGGTACATACTTTCTATTCTCAAGATATAGCCATGTTTTGAATTTTGACATTTATTCTTATGTTTACCTCAAATATTATCAATGCAATATTAATTTATTTATTCACTGATTTGATTGATCACTTGCAATGATGCTTATTATTTGTTACATATGAAATAGTCTTTTAAATGGAAATAACTGCATTTAAATGAACTGTGTTAAATAACATCACATCATATCCATTTGTGGCTGTCATAATCTTATTCTCTTGATTCCAGCAATTTCTAGAAATCCCTTGCATAAACAAATGACCTCTAATTATCATTATTAAAACAGAGGGAGTGCACACCATTTTACTTAATGGAATTTAAACTTGAATTAAAAATTATTTGTAACATTACTTTTATTGAGTGAGAATGAGGATCTGCAAGGTCAGTCTCAATTTTTAAGCACTGGCCTACATACAAACCCTGAGCACTACAGAACCTTAAACCCTCAATCTGTGAGATAAAGTGTCACTCTTTTCACAGCTTTTGCCGGCTCTGAGACACTTGCATGTTATTTCTCCTGCTCTTTTTATAGCAAAAATTCACTCATCACTAAATGAAAACTTGAAGTGAAAACCTGATTATTTCAGGAGCCTTATCACAAGTCCATTGTTTTTGAATGTTTTGAAGGGACAGCAAATTTACACTGTTATACAAGCTGTACACTCACTACTTTACATTGTAGCAAAGTGTCATTTCTTCAGTGTTGTCACATGAAAAGATATAAAGTATTTACAAAAATGTGAGGGGTGTACTCACTTCTGTGAGATACTGTACATATAATATATAAATATATATATATATTTTTTTTTTTCTTAGCTGGCGCTGTGCCGAAGACGACTTCTTAGCTCATACGCTGCTGTAGGTGCTGACGGCCTCCCAGCGACTTCCACAACTTGACCCCATGCTAATCGATCGGTGGATAGGGTCTTGGCGTCTACGAGTGTGAGACGACGATTCTTAAGGCTGTCTTCTATTTGTTTCACCCAGGTCTTCTTCGGCGCATGGCAGTGTACTTTCCACATTGGTGGTCGTTGGTGCCAAAGTAGTTTGCATGGCAGTCGAGCAATGTCCATTCGACACACGTGCCCAAACCACTGTAAGCGTCTTTTCCGTATCGCCTCTTCAATTGTGGACTGGTTGCCGTATTGTTGACGTACAGTTTCATTCTGGAGACGGTCAAGCCGGGATACGCCCAAGATTTGCCTGAGGCATTGCATTTGAAAGGTCTCCAGTTTGTTGATTTCTATCCTCAGATGGGTCCAAGTCTCTGATCCATATAGTAGGATCGGAATGATTAGGGACCGGAAAAGACGCATCTTGGTCGCAATCGTGATATTGGCCTTCTTCCACAAGCACCACTTAAGCGATGCAAACACTGCTGCTGCTTGGCCGATTCGGCACTGAACTTCTGCAACTGCTGCAATCTTTTTCTCCTGAACCATAGATCCTAAGTACTTGAAATTTTGCACGTTCGATTTTAATCCCCTCAAGGAAAATGTTTGCCTGCGATCCATCAGTGGTGAGCACCTTGGTTTTATCAATGTTGATCTTCAGGCTGAATGGATCAGCAAATCTAGAGATGTCATTTAAGGTGTCATTAGCCTCTGCATCCGTGTCAGCCAGTATGGCGCTGTCATCTGCAAACGCCAGGTCGGTTGCGTAATCATCAATGCCGTATTTGACTCCTTGCTTGTCCTTAAAAGCTCTCCTCATGATTGAGTCTATCACTGCATTAAACAAGATCGGGGAGGCGACATCACCTTGGCGGACCCCAGTTCGGATGGGGAATTCTTCAGACGTGTCGTTCTTGAATCTGTAGCAGCTTGTAGAGCCATTGTAAGACTGCTGGAGAAGGTGGATAATTTTCGGTGGCACATGTTCGACCTCCAACGCTGTCCACAGAGACGGACAGTGGACGCAGTTGAATGCAGATTTAAAATCGATAAATACGACCACCAAGCGCTTCGCACATCGGATCCGCTCTTCCATCAGCTGGCGGAGGGAGAAGATCTGATCGCAGCAGCCGCGATGCGGACGAGACCCAGCTTGCTCTTCTTGGCTCATCTGCTCCTGATGCTTTTGTAGGCGGGTTTGGATTATTTTCATAGACACCTACACCTACCATTACCTACAATGGAGAGCAGGCTGATCCCTCGATAGTTCTTACATTCATGACTGTCACCCTTCTTGAAGATAGGAACGATCATAGCCTTTTTCCAAGCTGATGGAATGCACTCAGATTTCCAGACGAGTCGGATTAGTGAGTGGAGACGGCTGATCAGAACGTCTCCACCTGCTTTGACCGCCTCAGAAGGCACTTGATCCGGGTGCTTTTCCGTCCTTCAACGATCGGACAGCGAACTTGATCTCATCAATTGATGGCTCTTTGTCAAGCATGGGAGTCGAAGGGGGGTCGATGTATGGAAAAGCAGCGTCTGGGCCTCGAGGTGGGTCGCAATCAAGGAGGAGTTGGAAATGCTCCCGCCAACATTGTAGTGGTTCATCTGCAGACTTCACAAAAGTTCCATCCGCCTTCTTGATGTTGTCATTGGTTGACTTGCTTCGCCCGCTCAATCTCCTCAGGGTCCGATAGAGGACCCTATACTCATTCCGGGATGCTGCATTCTCCAGTTTGGCTGCTACGATGTTCCAGTCGGCCTCTCTTTCGGATTTTGTCCTTCGCCTGACTTCGCGATTCAGTTGTCAATAACAGTTAAAAGTCAATGTGCTTCATCCTCTTTTGTTCCTGGACAAGATCCAGACACTCGTCCGAAATCCAAGGTTGCATTTTTCAGCAAGCAGGTGGACATAGTGGAGTGGCACAATCGATGATGGTTGTAACGATTCGAGTTTCTTCCTCGTCTACATTATCCATATTCGCAAGCGCTGCAAATTTGTTCACAAGGGCGATCTGGAATTGGGCTTTGATTCCAGGGTTGCTCAAGCAAGCCCAGTTTGGTTTGGGTGGTAACGGTGCCTTTTTCATGACCCGTTGTAATCGCAGTTGAAGTTTAGCACAGACGAGGTAATGGTCAGAACCGCAATCTGGTCCCCTCATTGCACGCACATCGTTGAGTGACGATCGGAAACGGCAATTGATCAGGAAGTCGTCGAGGATGGCTGAGTCATCGCCCGCTGGGTTCCTCCACATAAGTTGATGGCTACAGGGATGTTGGAAGATACTATTACCAATGACAAACTTGTTGGTCGCGGCGATCCGTTGTCATTTATTTTGCCAACACCAAACTTGCCCATTGTCTCTTCCCAGCCGTCCCGATTGGTGCCGATGTGCGCGTTAAAGTCACCCGCAAGAATAGTCAACTCAGTCCTCGGGATCAAGTCCAACGTGCTTTGCAATTGGTCATAGAAGTCGTCTTTGACCTCATCTGGGCTTGTTTCTGTTGGAGCGTAAACGGCTAAAAGGTGTACTTGAATGGTGCCATGAACAGTTAGTACAGCAAGGCGGTTTGATATCGGCTGGAAGGCCAATACACTTCTTGTTGCCCGGTCATCCACCAGAAAGCCGACCCCAGCCTCTCTTTTCTCCCCTCCAGAGTAAAACAGCATCATTTTTTCATATGAACTGGGTTCGTAGACAGTTGTTGTTCCGGATCCGATAAGTCTAAGTTCAAATAATGCCACGATCAAGATCTTGCACGTCAGCAGCTCTTTGGTGATGATCTCCTTTTGACCAACACGGTGGCCGGTCCGAACATTCCAAGCAGCAAGGCGAATTTCTGTTTTCGGTGTAATTATCTTACTTCCGATTTGAACTCTTCGGTTTCGGCCAGTAATCCACTTTCCACCGGCACCCTGGGGCCCCAATGCCGGCGCATCAGCTCCACCGTATGCGGTAGCATTGTTGCCTTTTGCGATTTGTCGTGGGTCCATTGGTTTCTTGCCTAATTTCCCTGGTTACCCAGTTCTGGTCACCTCGGCGGGATGACCACCCTCCTCCTTACTCAGGCCTAATTAGGCCCTCGCCCCCGGGCTTGTAATATAACTTTACAGCGGAGTTATATTATAGACAATATTATATATGTGACCCTGGACCACAAAACCAGTCTAAAGTCGCTGGGGTATAGCCAAATATTGTCCTAACAAACACATACATCAATGGAAAGCTTATTTATTCAGCTTTCAGATTATGTATAATCTCAATTTCGAAAAAATGTACCCTTATGACTGGTTTTGTGGTCCAGGGTCACATTATTTAATAGACAATATTATATATTATACTATATTAGAATATAGATATATTCAACTTATTTGTATATCTATCTATCTTTCTATTCTATTTTAATTCTACTTTATTTATCTTCTTTTTTATAAAAAAAATAGCTTGTTGCTTTGGATAAAAGCGTCTGCTAAATGACTAAATGTAAATCTATATCACACTGAGAGAAAATGAATACAAAGAACACTTTACAGTACAGCATGTCCTAGCAACACAAAGGTCCTGTTTGTAAAATGTATACCTTGAATGCAAAGCAAGTCACTTTGTGCAAAAGTGTCTATCAAATGCATAAATATAACTAGTACTAGATATTGTGAAACTGCATGATTTGTAAATGATGCATGGCGGGCCACTGTGACGTATAATATATTTTAATAGACAAGCTGCGGGCCGTTCGAAATTCATCCCCGGGCCGGACTTTGGACACCCCATTCAGTGTGTCTAACATTACTGGTACTTTGCGCAATAAAATCTAAATGTTAAAACCTCTGGTGTTTTTTTTGTTTGTTTTGTTTTATGATTAAAGTCATGTATGTCATATAAGAGCATCAGCAGCAAGGGACAGGGTGATGAGTGTCATTTTGGATGTAATGATGTTGTTCATAATAACAAAAGGACTGAACTCCATGTAGTCTCCACGTCATTTCATATTTATAAAAACGGTCTTTGACGTGGAAAAGTACTTACGGCCACGTCAGGGTCTGAGCAGCCGTACGCACTTTTCCTTTTATTTGAACATCTAAACTGCAATAATAATAAAAGCGGTGTACGTGCACGCACCGAATTCATCATAAAAAATAAAGATGCAGTGTAAGAGATTAATGCAGTGTAGTCAGATTTTTTTATTAACGGGAGTTTTTGAAAGACATCAGCCTTAAACTTTGTTTTTGTCATTTACATCAGTTATATTTGTATAAAATACACTATATATTAGGGCTGCCCCCTAATAGTCAACTAATCGTTAGTTGACCAGAAGAGGCTTGGTTGACCAAAATTTTGTAGTCACTTAGTCGCAGAAAAAAAAAATCCACATTGGCAAAATCACGCAGATCGCTGATCTATGGTAATACAGTACATCCGGCAGGACATAGTAACTTTAGTAACTTTACAAATCCGCTCAATCTAATGTTAACCTAGAGAAATGTGCGCTATATTCAAGTGTCTGTGTGGTAGCTGAACAGC